TCTTTGTATCTATCTCAGTTTGTACATATCTATGAATCTCTTTATATCTATCTCAGTCTGTTCACATCTATCTATCTATCTATCTATCTATCAGGCTATTTATAGCTATCTCTATATATCTATTAATCAGTCTCTTTATATCTATCTATGTGTCGATTTATATATATCTATATCTATCACAGTCTGTTCATATCTATCTATATCAGTCTGTTCATATTTATCTATTTATCTATCTATCTCAGTCTGTTTCTATTTATGTGTCAGCATATCTTAAATTTTCAGATGACTGATGTACTTATGTCTATAATAATTACTTTTCTAATTAAGTCAAATCACGTCAGATTTTACATCCATAAGTTTGCTTTGCAAAACTGAATTTAAAACAAATATAATATTTTTTAGTTTTTAAATAAAATGTTTATATAAGAATACAGGAATGAAAATTTACATATGAGGATGACAAACAGACAGATAGATAGATAGATAGATAGATAGATAGATAGATAGATAGATAGATAGATAGATAGATAAAGAGACAGTCAGATGGATAGATCAATAGATAGATAGAAAGAAGGGCAGACAGATAGACAGACAAAATAAATGGATAGATAGATACATAGACTGACAGACAGATAGATAAATGGATGAATAGAACAGAACAGATAAATGACAGATATGAGACATGCATGTGTGATATGTATGTTTTTGTGTGTAGATGTAGATGTCTAATTTTGTGTTTGTATGTGTATGCATATTTGTAAGATCCACATAAGCCCAGTACATTGTAATATCAGAAGAAATTGGGATGACGTAGGAAGATTGTATTGCAGCAGTCTTCCAAATAGGGAGATCCTCGTTACCTTAAAATCTAGTATTCTAAATTTTAGATTTCAGCTACAATTCTGAAACTCACATCAACTTCAGACATCAAAGATGCTATATATATATATATATATATATATATATATATATATATATATATATATATATAAATATGTGTGTGTGTACATACATGTATATATATATATATATATATATATATATATATGTTCCTAAAATTTGTTATACAAACACACACATACACCACATAAACACTCTCTTTCTTGCTGGTGCATACATTGTGTCTTTCTCCCTCTCAGATGCCAACTCTCTCGCACACAAACATGCCCGCACCCTTACATACATACTCACTCTTTCACACAGACATGCACCTTCTCTATGGACATGCCCACTCACAGTAAGACACACACACATGTATAGGTTTAATACATAATATAAAATTTGTCAGCTGAATTCAGAGTTTTCATTGGTGAAATTTTTGTAATCATTTGGTCCATTCATCAGGAGGTATCAGCAATATATATATATATGCACACACACACATGCACACACACATACACACACACACACACACATATATATATATATATATATATATATATATAGATTTCACGGACAAGATAGATTGAAAAATGGAAAAACTGTCCAGATAGCACTTTCAGCTACATATTTAGCGATTATCAAAGATGATTTTATTTTTACTTTTTAACTAAATTTAAGGGTTGTGTGTAGGTATCTAGAGTGATAGGGATGTTTTATATTCCAAACATGGTCAGCACAATGTGGCTATGTTCATATTTAATGCTATTGAATGTTGGCTCAGTATATATGTACACAGATATATATACATATGTATGTATGTACATAGATATATATACATATGTATGTATGTACATAGATATATATAGCAGTAACAATATTGTGTGTTGTATGTGTATACGTGCATGTTTGCTTTTTATTCAAACTCTCATTTTTATTTTTATTTTCTAACCAGTCATCTTCTTTTCCTTTTTTCTCAAGAATGTCTCCCTATTTTTTACATTTGTTCTTTTTTGTTCATCATCATCCTTCTTTCTACGCAATTTTTACCATTTTCTTTTCTTAGTTTTTTCCTTTTCTTTTATTCTTTAAATTGTTTAAATTTCTTCAAAAGTTTTTCCTCTTTCTTTTTGGTTTTTAATTTGGAAATTTCTTTGACTTCTTTACCAATTCTGCAGACACTTGAATATGTATGGAGTTAAAGTTTCATGAAATTTTCTGAGTTTATTTTAGAAACATTTATGTTTTAAAATATTTTTATATATTAATTTTTACCTTGATCAGTTTCTGATAAAGTCTCTTTCAGTAATGAGACCAATGGAGTCTCTTTTTTGACAAAACTTATATGAAAGTTTAGCATCACATGAGGGACATCCCATCACTTCATCATTTTTGTTAAAAAAATTAACTTCTCTCAATCTTGTATTTAATTTGTTTCATCAAATTCCAGATATATTTACTTCTCAATTAATATCAATATATAGGTTATAACTATTATAAAAAAATATGTTTGCTTTCTTCTTATTTTTAAGCATATATATATATATATATATATATATATATATATATATATATATACAGTTTATCTTTTTGTTATTTGTTCTTTTTCTTTCTTTCATTA